TTGTACCATTTAAATATATCCTAGCTTCTGGGGAGTTGCATCTTCTCCAGGTAAATTTGCATAGGTAGGAGGACATGTCCTAGGATAGCACTGCCCACAGATCTGGGTATGGAGAGGGAAGGTGTTATGGACTGAATTGTGTCCCCCCAAAATATGTATCAACTTGGCTAGACCTTGATTCTCAGTATTATGTAGTTATCCTCCATTTTGTGATCTGATGTAATTATCCTATGTGTTATAAATACCTCTATGATGTTAATGAGGCAGGATTAGAGGTAGTTATCTTAATGAGACAGGATACAATCTATAGGATTTGACTGTGTCTTAAATCAATCTCTTTTGAAATGCAAGAGAGATTAAACAAGTGAGCAGAGATCAGAGGGACTTCAGTACCACAAAGAAAGAAGAGCCAGAAGCAAAGTGCATCCTTTGGACCTGGAGTCCCCACGCTGAGAACCTCCTAGTTGCCGGGGAATACTGATGCCAAAACACATGGAGATTTCCAAGGAATGCTGGGCTCACAGATGTTGAAATGAGACAAGGACCTTCCCCAGAGCCAACAGAAAGACCTTCTCCTAGAGCTAGCACCCAGAATTTGGACTTTTAGCTTCCTAAACTGTGAGAGAATAAATTTCTGTTTGTTAAAGGATCCACTGTGGAATTTCTGTTATAGCAGCGCTAGATAACAAAGACAGAAGTCTTCTTGGAGAGAGGGATCAAAGTGAGAAAAGGAAGGGAGGGTCTAAGAGGGATAAGTCAGCTGAGCCCCACTTAGAAAATAATGAGAAGTGCATCAGTGGTCTTGGATTATAGATTCAAGATCCACAGACCACAGACCATATCTCTGAAACTGGAGGAGATTTCAGAAATGGTGCCACTTGCTTGTACCTTTAGTGGTCCATCCCTGCTACGTGCTCCACCTCCAGGCCCCCAGTTCCCTGTGATCACCCACACAGACTTTTAACAGCCTCAGGGAGGTATAAGAGAAGGCAGAATTCAGAGTGAGGGTATGGCTATAGGGCTTATGGGGGAAGCCAGCCCAGTTATTAAAGTCTGAGCAAGAAGGGAAAAGAGGGCAAAGCCAGTAAGGTCCAGAGAAGAAATATCAGGGACATAACTTCTAGAAGAGGTTCCTGGATGGTGTAAACAGTTAACTCACTGCTAACCAAAAAGTTGATAGTTTGAATTCACCCACAGGCATCTGGGAAGAAAGACCTGGCGATATACTTCCAAAAACTCAGACATTGAAAACCTTATGAAACATGTTTCTACTCTGACACACATGGGGTCACTATGAGTCAGAACCGACTCAGTGGCGACTGTTTAGTGGTATACATATTACTCAAGGGCACAAGAGTTACCTTGACCCCCCCAGCTCAGGAGCACACCAAGTCCACCCCTCCCATGGGTCAACTTCTACTACCCTGTGGATTTCATCATTGGCAACCTGCTAAAAAATTAGTGTGGAAAATGCCAAGACATAGCATTGCCCAGGGCACCATGAAATGTTCTTTCCAAATGGATACATATCTTTAATCTATTTCCCATTTTCAGTACACTATGAGTAAACGATTACCAAAAAACCAAACTCACTGCCATCAAGTCAATTCTGACTCATAGAGACCCCATTGGGTTTCAAGGCTGTAAATCTTTACAGAAGTAGATTGCCCCATCTTCCTTCCATGGAGTGGCTGGTGGTTTGAACTACCAACCTTCTGGTTAACAGTCAAATGCTTTTATTCTATTCCTCTTGACCATAGGAAGCGATCTTTATCCTAATCAAAAGTACAAGAATTTATCAGGAAAACACTACCCATAGAAACAAAAGTCGATACATATTGCTCAATGGTGTGGTAAGAAGAGCAAAGGACCACATCCAACTACTAACTAGCTGAGTTATCTTGGGCAACACACTTTATAACTCTGGATCTCTGTTTCTTCATCTATAAAAAGTAAATAATATAATAGTAATATGTGCCTCACAGGTTGACATGAAGATTAAATGAGATTTATATATGTACACACCCTAGAATATACATGGCACTCAATTAATATGAGATAACTCTGATATACATCAAGCATAACATTTGTTATTGCTTTAAATAATAGTAGATGAGTATGAATCTGTCTCAACACTGTCACATGTAGGTTTAAAATCTGTTTCATAATTGTTAAGTACCATACCTCTGGTCTGCTGTGTTTAAAACAGCCTTGTGTTTGGACATGCAAATTATAATGACAATTTCAGAAATGCTTTCTTAGTGTCCAGTCTAAAGATGCTGGCATTTAGATACAATTTACTTCATTAAAACAGGTTGAGCTGGTTTGCCAGGTTGTGGCAGGTGTGTGTAAGTCTAAGTTGCTTTGAGCATCTACGGAGTAAGTCTTAGAGCCCAGCAACTTCCCTGATGGCAGAAGCTTCCAGCAGACACTCTGGGCAGGGCCCAAGGAGCAAGTAAACAGTTAGACAAAGCACACTTGGCAACTTGTTGAGCAGAACATCAATAGAAACCAATGACAACTAATGGAGGGCAGACAGCATACTCAACTCTACAAGATGGCCCAGAACCCTGGGGTGGCTTCCTAGATCCCAAGGGATGGAAGGATCGAAAAGGAGCAAGGTGGGGAGAAGGTAAAGTATGACCAGTGCCCTCCCCATAGATGGTAGAGCATGGACAATTCTGTCCCCTCTTCTTTTCTCCCTTTCTTTCCTCCTCACTGGGAGGAGTCTTGATTATAGAAAAGGAAGATCTTATGCAGAGGAGGGGGACGGCCTAGAGGATATTCCCTCAGGATAGTCTGAAGCTGACAGAGACCCAAGCCAGCCTCTTCCTAAAATCAGGTCAGACAATGTTTTGCAAGCAATGGTGTTGAAATGTAACCCAAGACATCAGAGTGAAACACTGGACGGTAGGCCTGTAGGTGCTGGCACTGACCAGAGCAGCGGGTCTCAGATGTGGTTTGGAAATGCTTCCATGATGCTTGGCACAAACTTCTGCCCTGAGCTTCCTCAATGCCTCCCTACCTCTATGATAGCTATGGCCCCTCCACAAAAACCCGAGACATCCTAAGATCCATAACCACAGTTAGTGTCTGTCACCACAAGAGGACTCCGGACGCAGCTCTACTCTAACTGGTCAGTGATGGGTGGTCATGGCACATTTTTGAGACTGCCCCTGACAGAGGGGCACACTCACCCTAAAGGGAAGTTTACTGATCTGTGTCATCCCAGAGGAAGAGGCAAGGCAGGCAGGAGGGTGGCCCCCCAATCCTCATCTGTAAAATGAGGATGACACAGTTCAGTGAGCTTCATATGCTACTTGTTTTGTTGCTCTTTCTGTTCCAATAAGCTGCCCTTAACTATTCTCAGACCTACATTTTCTCTTCCAAATTCTAGGGCCCAAATGTCTCAATCTCTACTCCTGCTAGCATTCCATTGACATAGACTGCTAAGTAAACAAGGACTTCCAAGAGACAGCTCAACTTAAAGGAAGGGTTCAAGTGGCATCTTTGCCTAGAGCAGGAACAAAGGACAGAGAGCTTCCCGCAGGGCAATCTGAGCGTGTAGGTTGTGAAACCACCCACAACCCAGGCAAGGGCAGCCAACTTGGCCAGTGCTGGCCCCTCTCCCCACTGCCACCCAAAAAGCCCCTCCTCCCTTCTCTGGTTGAGGATTGCGGGTCCTCTTTATTTGACTGTCCTCAAACTAGGACAGACTCACTCCTTAACAGACAAAGCCCAGAGTCAGACTCAGTCATTGGAAACTTCTACTTTCAATTCTTTATCCTTTTTTTGTACAGTGATCAAATGACTCACCATCTACCACTAATTTGTTAAAAATTAAAACAAGAACATGCAATTCTACAGCCAGTTAAGTTAGAGTAGGGAATTAATGATTAATTAGCATTATAATGCTTGACAATCTTCTTTCTCTCCTCTCAATCTCTCTTTCTCTCTCTCCTTCCCTCCTTCCTTCTGACACACATGCACATACAGAAACACACACTCTAGGGGAAATCTTTAAGTAAAATATTACCAGAACTCACAGGCACTTAGCGTCAGCCACTTTGGGAAGACACCAAAGAGAAAAAATAGCCAGCTTGCATAGCTGCCTTGAAGCTGTGGTTTTAAAAGTCAGTTTCTCTGGGGGGAGGGGGCAGTAGATGGATTTAATGTGTAGCTACCTGAATTATGCACACCTTGTTGAAGAAATAAGAGGCATTTTATAGCTGTGTTAGGGTTAGATGGTTACTGAAATACAAGGGGAGACAATATCCTCACCATACCCTGTCCCCTAGGAGAAAAGAAGCCTAAGAAACAGGTAAAAACAACTTCCATGGAACAGGAAATTTTCACTTGTCACTAAGTCAATCAGTTACCACAAATTATGTATTTCCCTGAATAACACAAATAAGCAGGGTTTCCTATATCATACAAGAAAGAAGAGCAGCAGTAGATCAGCTGTCTCCCTGTGTAGTCCCAAAGTCTATTGCTGATAGTAAGACAAATCCTTGATGGAAAATGGAAAAAGTAATTGAGCTGGCAAGAAATTAGGAGGACACACTCAGCCCCTTCCCTTCCTTGCTACACACATATGTCCTCTTCTGGAGCTCATAGTCAGACAGGAAACAAGTGCAAAGGGTAAAAATATATAATATTTTGATTTTATTATCTGATGGCCTGTTTTTCTCTAATTGTTGGGCTTGATGTTAAATGAATGCCTGTGCAACAGGAAATCAATTCAAGTACAAAAAATAAAGTCGTGTGGAATGTTTGAAAACTGCCATACAGTAGAATCAGTATCTTAGTTGTTTTAATGGGAATAGAACTACTACTGGTTCTTAATTTTTTTATATTGTCTAAACCTCAGCTATATTAGCACCACCATGCCTAATGTTAGAATGGTATGTGAAGTAGGTTGAGTAGGAAGTGGCACACAGGGAGCAGAAGCAGGAAGCAGTCTCCCCACTTAATGCAGCCAGCTGTCTGGAACAACTTACTTGGGTGTTCCTGTGGGCTTCCAGTATCTGCAAAAGAGGTGCTGCCCATCAGCGTTGACCAGGTGAGGGAGGTCCTGGTACTGAGAGCTCTGTGGTGTCTGCCTGGAAGAACTTTCCTCCGGCATTCTGAAAGGATCTGCAGGTCCTTGAAAGAAAGGAGGATATTGTTTCAAGTCAGAAATACTGCAAAAACATACAGAGATGGGGAGGAAAGACTTGTTCAGAATCAGAAGCATTAAAAAACGAAATAAAACAAAAAACTCAGTGTTCAAAAAACTCTACTTCAAAGATTTAAAAATACATATATTTCTTGCAAACCTCTCTAAGACTGAAAATTTTCATTTGTTCTTAAGAAAATGCTTACTTTATTTTTTTAAGTGCCTCATTACAGCTTCCCCCCCTTCCCATCTGTGTTTATTTTAACTCATTTCAGGACACTTAATCTTAACAACTATTTTATCTGTAATCAAGTGGAAATTATAGTCAGTTCTATGTGTACAAAGATCCAGCTGCAAGAATCCCCATCTATCTTAAAATCTCCAAGGAACAGTTTCATGGGGCACAATAATGAGGTGGATGATACTCCGATGATTTCTCGGGGCAGAAATTCCGGAGCAGCAATGACAAACCTGTTTCCATCATGTCCAAGGTTTGCATTCCAGAAGAGCCACAGCCTAGAGAATCAGAGCCAGGCAAATAAGGGCTGTTTCCTCCTCTCCGCTGTCACAGGATAGTATTCGAGTCCCTCTCCTAGCCTCCATCCCCTCCCTACCCTCCGCCCCTCTGATCTGCCTTTCAGGTTTTCTTACTGCTGAGCCAAAAAGCCTGCAGCCAGCTCTCAATGACAGGCTCTCAGAGCTCCCTGCCCTCCCCAACGAGGGGAAGAGGCTCTGGCGATTCTCCGCAACTAGTTCATTTCAGCACTTTTTCTAAATGAGTTGTTTAGAGGGGCTTGTAAAAGGGAGGGGCTCCCTGGCCCGGCAACCACTGCCGGGGAAACCGGGTACCCGCTCCGCGCACACGCGAGGCACCTAGCACACGCACAAATGCGGGTCACCGAGACAAAGTCACCCCTGAAGGTTCTAACAAACTTTGCTTCCTGGCTGTCCCCGCAGCAAAGGGAATGGAGCTCTGCAGATGACATGAGAAATGTCACTAGAAAAATCAGGAGGTTTGGTCCGGCGTCCCTGCACAGTGGGAACTGGAAAGATGGAGTGGAGGGGAGCAAGTTGATTTAGGGACTGGTGCGAGGGAGCAGGGAGGGAGCGCGCGTACGCATACACACCCCGCGCGCACCCCGCGCGCACACACTCACGCGCCACACAGCCAGACGCCCGGAGCCCCGCCAAGCGTGCCGCGGATCGGGTTGCTGCTCTTCACCCCCGGCGGGCACTCGCAGGCGGGGCGGGGGCCAGGAGCCAGTTACCGAGGACACGAGCGCCACTGTCCGCTTCCCCCGAGCGCCGCGCGGTCCTCTTCTGCGGGAGCCAGGGCTCGGCGGAGCTGCACACCACCAGCTCAGTAGCCACAGGGCGCGGCGTCTGAGCCGCCACTTTATCCCCGGCCGGGCTCCGCGGCGGGGGCGGGCGGCCCTCTGTGGGTGGGGACGCGCGGCCCAGCGAGCGGCGCGGGGAGGCGGTGCCGGGCCCACGTGTGCTGGGCTGCGGGGAGGAGCGCGGGTGTGCAGGCGGCCGGCAGGCCACGCGCGCCGCCCACCCGAGGGAGCCACGGCCTTGGCGTCCAAGTCGTACACACAGCACTAAGGTGTACACAGACGCACATGCACACAGAGACACACAGCACACAAACCCACACGCACACAGAGACACACACAGCATACCATATGCACCAGATACACTATAGACGCTTACACAGACACACCACACCCACAAAGACACTCAAACACACATAGACACACACACACAGTCACACAGAGAGACATACATGGACATTATCCAGGCATACAAGTACCACACACACAGACACAGGCACACTCAACCACATATCCATATATCTAGTGCACATATACAAATGCCTTGTCCTCGACTCCCACCATCAGCAAATGTGCCTGTGCCCTAGGAGCCAGGCCCTCCACAAAATCTCTGGTCCATCTATATAGGCCAAGGAAAAGCTAAATGCTGTTCAGTGTAAGTGGCAATACAGCTTGTGTGTGTGTGGGGGGTGGGTGGGGTGGGTGGAGGATACAGGGACAAACACTGGACTTAGAGTCAGACCACCTGTGTTCAATATCAGCTCCTCCATGTGCCCTTTGAGCATTGGTCTCCTTACCTACATGTGAGTGGCAATGCCTAAGTCTTAGAGATATATGAGAAATGTGCTTATGTTACACTGACCTCACAGGCCTCCACATCCTTTCTCTGCAAATAACTATATATGTAGCAGCCTTGAAAAGAATTACTGTCCTCCAGAAAATGATGTCTCAATGTCACACTGTGTCCAAAAGCCTGCAATCTAACTTAAGAAAGAAGGCAATTGCCTTTGAGTAGGAACTTGGGTTGAAGGTGCTTAACAGGTCACCAGGCCTCTAACAGAGATGAGGAGCCAACTGACTTCTCAGGGGTGAAAATATGGGTTATTTACAATCTGGAGTGATTATGAATAAAGCTGCTATAAACATTTATGTACAGGATTTTCTGTGAACATAAGTATTCATTTCTCTGGGATAAATGTCCTGAAGTACAATTGCTGGGTCATATGGAAATTTATGTTTAGTTGTTTTAAGAGATTGCCAAAATGTTTTCCAATGTGGTTGTACCATTTTATATTCCCATCTGCAATGTTTAGGGATCTAGTTTCTCTACATCCTCACCAGCATTTGGTGTTGTCATTATTTTTTTATTTTAGCCATTCTGATAGCTGTGTGGGATATCTCAGTGCAGTTATAATTAACATCTCTCTGATGGCTAATGCTGCTGAACATTTTTTTTTTTTTTATTGTGATTTGGGTGAAAATTTACAGAGCAAATTCACTTTCTATACAGCAGTTCACATATACTTTGTCTCATGACATTGACCACAATTCACCACAATGCAACAGCTCCTTTCCCACTTCCTCCCAACAGTCACCTCTTCCCTGTGTCCATCTCACCATGCCCCCTGCCCCCTGAGCTGTCTCCCTGTGCATAAACAGCCCTTCTTTCTCCCATGACTATTCACTCCAAGCAGTGTATTTACCTCAGGTAAATGTTCAACTCCCATGCCTGTCTTTTGCTTAGCTGGAAGCTACAGGTATGGGTTCAGTTCCAGACCTGAAGAGCAGCTAGGGGCCATAGTCTCAGTGGTTCCACCAGGCTCTATCAGACTAGCAAACCTGGTCCCCCCCCCCCTTTATTTCCCAAATGCTTTTGAGTTTTGTTTCACATTGTTCTCCCTCTCTATCCAGGGTCTCCTACGTAGATCCCCCTCTGAGTGGTTGACCTTGGTAGCTGGGCACCATCTAGTTCTTCTGGTCACATAGTTGTATAGGCTGTGGATTGCATGGTGTACAAGTTCCTATGACTAATTCTTTCCATGAATATTTGTTTTTTTTCATTCTTCTTTGCTCTGGACGAGGAGAGACCCATCATTTCACCTAGATGGCTGCTTGTAAGCTTTTAAGATCCCAGTCACTACTTGCCAAAATAGGAGGTGGAACAATATTTTGTGTAGTATGTTATGCCAATTAAACTTGATGTCCTCTGTGACTATGGTCCCGAACCCATACATTCAACTACTTGGTTCCTCTGAGTAGCTGGCTGTGACCAAGAAGAGACTACAACCTTGTCCTTTGTCAGCTCTACTATACACCTGGGAATTCAGATCATACAAATACACTTATAGGACCATTGTCTGCCAACCCTATGTACTTCATAGACATACCTAATAGCTCAGCCTGTCCACCCATCTACCTACCTGTATACCCATGTTTGCCTTCACTGACAACGCAGTACTGTATGTGCAAAAGGGTTCATCTTTGTTGTCTGCACCTCCCTTGTACCTCTCTATGTCTTCCTCTTCCTCAATGC